GCGTGCTCATATCCACCGACCTGCTCGCGCGCGGCATCGACGTGCAGCAGGCGCCGAGGGCCGGGCCCTGCGCTCGCAGGGGGGGGGGGGGGGGCGGCCTCCTGTGGCCCCTCGTGCCTGCCCCGGGGGAGGAGGCGCGAAGGAGGGCGTGGAGGCGGGGAAGGGGAAGGAGGAAGGGGGAGGAGGAATGGGGGGGGGGGAGGGGGGGGAAGGATGATGAGGGGAGGAAGGGTGAGGAGGGCAGGAGGAGGAGGAGGAGGGGAGGAGGAAAGGGGAAGGATGATGAGGAGGAAGGGCTGAACTCGCCCAGGCTCAACTCGCCCAGAACTCAACTCGCCCAGACTCGACTCGCCCAGAGCCCAACTCGCCCAGGCTCAACTCGCCCAGGCTCAGAGCGCCCCGGCTCAACTCGCAGGGCCGGGCGAGATGAGCCGGGGCGAGTCGAGCCATGGCGAGTTCCACCAGAGAACACGCATCTCAGGATCCTAGAATGCTGCCAGCGCCGAGGCCGGAGCGCTTTGGCGAGTTCAGCTGGGCGAGTTGAGCGTGGTGCGAGTTCAGCCGGGCGAGTTTAGCCGGGGGACGCTGGAAAAACGAGGATGAGGGTGCCTCCCTTGTGGTGTTGTGCATGGTGTGTGGTGTAAGCAGTGCGGTGCAAGCACTGCCGTGCAGTCGATGCGTAGTTTGAGCAGTGAGGTAAACAACCAAGGCATGTGGTGCAAAGTGCGCGGTGTAAATTCCGAGCAGCGATGCGGTGTACGAAGGCAACGTGGCCTGAACAAGGCCGTGCAGATCTACGCGATTTTAGTGCAAGCAACACGGGGCGTCCACGGCCGCCCACGAGGCGAAACATCGGCAGACCCGCCTCGGGCACGCGCCGCGGGGCGCCCGGGAGGCGTCCACCGCAGTCCCACAGGCGAGACCTCGGCAGACGCAGCCAACGCAGAGGGCGTCTGCGAGGCGCCCCCGGCCGCCGACCAGGCGAAAACATTTGTATCCCGGCCAGCATCCCTCGATGCCCGCCCGCAGTGCATGGAAACCGCGCCTCGCAGCGGAAACTTCAGACCACTGGGACGGGCGGGACAGCAGGTATATGACGTATCCTCGGGCGCGCGCGGCGGGTCGGGCGGGCCCTGGCGTGCGGAGCGGGTCGGGTCGGGCGGGGACGCGAAAATATGATGCATCATCGAGTTGGCACGCGTGTGCCCTACTGGGCGTGTCGGGTCGGGCGGGCGGGTCGGGTCGGGTGGACCCTACTGGGCGGGTCGGGTCAGGCGGGCTTCACAGCTAATTGCTGTATCGTCGAGGTGGCACGCGTGTACCCTAACAGGCGGGTCGGGTCGGGCGGACTCTAACGGACGGGTCGGGCCGGACGGGCGGGACATTACAGTATGATGCATCATCGGGTTGGCACGCGTGCACCCTGACGTGCGGGTCGTGTCGGGCGGGCGGGTCGGATCTGGCGGGTCCTAACCGGCGGGTTGGTCCGGGTGGGCGGGACATTCAATAATGATGCATCATCAAGTTGGCACGCTGACGAGGAGGAAGAGGATGATGTTGATGATGGAAAGGAGCAGGAGGAGGAGGAGAAGGAAGAGAGGGGGAGGAGGAGAAGAGTTGTTGGTAGGATGAGGAGGAGGAGGACGCTTGGGATTATAATCATGCTGCTGATGCTGACGATGATGCCGAGGATGATGCAGATGCTGATGATGCACATGATCATGATGGTGATGATGAGGGTGCTGATTGTGATCATGATACTGATTGTGGCGGTGATGGTGATGATGAGCATGATACCTTCGTTGATGATGATGTGATGATGATGGCGATGCTGAAACACATGAAGATGACACTGCTGCTGATACAGATATTGATGCTGATAATTATGATGGTGGCTGTGAGGATTATGATGATGATGCTAATGCTGATGTTGCTGATGATGCTGATGCTGCTGATGATGCTTATGTTTATGATGGTGATCATGCTGCTGCTGATGATGATCATACTGGTGAGCATGATGATCATGCTGACGGTGCTGCTGACGGTGTTGCTGATGATGTTGATGATGTTGATGACGTTGATGATGTTGATGTTGATGACGACGATCATGCTGATGTTGTTTTTGATGATGAGGATGGCGATGACGATGCCGACGACGACTGTGATGATGATGCTGCTGTTGATGCTAGTGGTCATGATAATGCTGATGGTGGTGATGATGCTGATGATGATGCTGCTGCTGCAGATGATACCGCCGATGCTGATGCTGCTGATGATGCTGATGATGACATGATGCCGGCAATGATGATGGCGATGACGATGACGTTGATGATGTTGATGATGATGCTGATGATGATGATCATGCTGATGATGCTGATGATGGTGATGATGCTGATGGGGATGATGCTGCTGTTGATGATGCTGAGGATGCTGCTGATGATGATGCCGATGCTGATGCTGCTGATGATCATGCTGATGAAGATGCTGATGATGCTGATGA